TGCTAACAGGACCACACTGCTAACAGGACCACACTGCTAACAGGACCGCACTGCTAACAGGACCACATCAAAATCTAGATAGAAATAGCATTTTAAACCTTATCACGTTGGAATATATGGATCCTTTTTCCTTTCTACAAAAAACAGAATGATTTCTTTGTTATTAGGCAGTTGGGATGTGAATCTGGACAGGCTGCTCATGCAAATGAAAGTAAATTATCCGGATCAGAACCAACACTAAACCCCAGATGGATGAATTTTGTTTCAAACGTGTATTTGAGCGTATCTGTGTTTTAAAAGCAGCACAGCAGGAGGTAACTTCAGGGCAGAGATGGGATTTAAGGCTTTTTGAAATGAGCTGGATATCGAGGATTTGTTCCTTGAAAAAAGGTTCAAAAGAGCCAATCTTTTAAATGGTTAGTCACGTGGTATGGCCAGTGGCGTGGTGCGGTTGGACGTCCCCATGTTTGTAAGTATTAACAAAGGGACTCCCACAGTTCGTTTTAAGAGACGTTCAAAAGATTCAGATCGTTCCTGAATGTCACGTCCCTTCTTCATAGTTCAGAACTTTTTAACACCTCACTCTCTCACAACGGTAGGAATAAAATGGAAACAATGAATTCTCCCAGCAGGTACAAAACACACACACACACACACCACAGAGATGAGAAGAAGATGGTGAAAAGAAGTGTGTGCAACCAGACGGCAAGGAAGAGGAGGAGATCGACTGTTCCCATCACAGCTACAGACACGCACGTAAGCGAGGACGTTTGAACACACAAGACACACGTAAACGCTCGACAGGTGTGCCTTTTCAACTCACCTGCTCGGCCAGAAGATGCTGCTGCTGCTGCCTTTGCTCTCTTAACATCTGCTGCTGCTTCTGCTGCTCCATCATCTGCATCCTCTTCTCCATCACCATCATCTGCTTCATCATGGCCGCCTGCTGCTGGTTGCTGGCGTAGCCCGGCGGCGGACCCGACCCCTGGTTGGGTCCCACTCCGGAGGCAACGCCCCCCGCAGGGTGAGGAGGGGGTATTGCGCCGGGTGGCCGTGACATTCCCACCACACCTTGTTCCTGGAGGGACAGAGAGGAGGCAGCGGGTCAGAATCACCACGGACCGGGTTATCAGAGCATTTATGGCACAATTTAATTCTTAAACTTTATATTTTCCGTAACGAATCCAAAGAAAATCCACCTTGAACCTCTCGACATTCGTACTTAACGCGTGAACGCTGATTCACCTTGCACCCTTTTTTAACGTTTTATTTTTCCTGTTCTTTTTCAACTTCTCCTGAATACTTTACGGATATTTTTTAAAAATCTGATTAATCTGTCGTCTAATTTATGAACCAACTTTAACAACAAATTTTACGCCAAAACCACAACTTTGCATGAGTTCAGTTTATTTTTAACAATAAACTTCGGCATTTTTGTAAACCACAAAAATAAAATGAAACCAAAGACTTACAAATACAGGTTTAGTGCTAGTTTAGCAGTTCATGTATCGAAACATTCAGCTCATTAAGGAAACGGGTGCCATGACTTCTGGTTCAAGTAACTTTTAGACTTTTTATAATTTTTAACTGAATTTAAAAATAATTCCCCCATAAAAAATAAAAAAAACGCAGAAAATCTCTTCAGTTCTCTTTGAAATCTGATTCAGCGTGCCGATTATTTTTGTGTTCTTAAGCTACATTTAACGTTTAGATTTTTTTTTTTTTTGGCTGCTTTGAGACTTTTGCCACCATTCTGCTTGTGTTAGCTTTTAGCAATCCTTTTGATGCCTTTATCTTCCTTTTAGCTACGTTTACCTTTTAGCTAAACTTTTGCTGCCACTAATTTGAGCTTTGTGCATTTTTTAAACTTCTAGTAAGTCTTTCGCTAATTTAAGCTAGCCTTTTGCTGCCTTTAGCTTTCAACCAACATTCTGCTAGTAGCTTTTAGCTCGCCTTTTGATAACTATAGATGGCTTTTTACTAGAGCCCGACCAATATATCGGTAAGGCCGATATTTTAGGCTGATATAGGCACTTGGGGACATATCGTATTGGTGATAATGGTCCTTTTAAGCACCGGTACAAACATTGGGAACAAGCAGTATCCTTACTTGCAAAAGGCGTAGTTGTACAATGCATCCAGCAGAGGGCACATGCGGACTGCTTTCAAGTCAGAGAGTCAGTCAGAGATTCTTTATTGTCATGGCCTTAAGTTTCACTTTCAGTACAGCCAAAGCAGCGAGCAATACTGTGTAGCATATTTTACTGAACAGAGCATGGTAAGTTTATTTTAACTGATCTGTAAAATAAATTCTCTTCAATCCTCCAACCCGCTTGTCATTAGCTACGTGCCTCTCAAGTTATCAAGCCAACATTTAGATAACCTAGCATAGGCCATTATTACCTTGTAAAACTTTATCCAGAACAATAAATCGACTGTAGCGGTAAATATATATCAGTGTTAGTAACGTTATCTTTGTCGTCCTCAATGAAATGCATTATTTATCTGAAATCATTCTATACAAAGAAAAAAAAGAAGCCGCTGCAGCAGTCAATACTAATTAGGCCTTCACCATATGTGACTGTTTCGTTTTTGTAACAGACTTGATAACTTTATGGTGAATTGTCGAGGATAGAAAATGTGAACGCAAGTTAGGAAGACTGTTTCAAGACTTCATGTTAAAACAGGCTTAAAAGTAGCTGTTTACTTAGATTCTTGGGGGTGGACAAATTAAACAAATTAGCCATTAGATCAGTTATCGGCATCAGCCCACTACTCCTAATATCGGTGCTACCACTTTTAGTTTATAGCTAGCATTTTGTTTTATTAAGTTTGAGGTTCCCTTTTCCTACCATGAGCTTTATGCTAGCCTTTTGTTACAATTAGCTTTTAGCAATCATTTTGCTACTTTTTCCAACATTTTTAGCTAGCTTTTTTGCTAATGTCAGTTTTTAGTTAGCCTTGCATTTCACAGCTTTTAGCTAGTGTTTTGCTAATTTGAGCTAGCCTTTTGTTGCTTTGAGCTTTACCATTATACTACTATTATCTTTTAGCAAACTCTTTGCTACTTTAAATTTTTAGCTAGCCGTTTTATACTTTTAGTTTTCATTATGCTACTTTCATTTTTAGTTAGCCTTCTGAATTCTTATGCTTGTAGCTAGCATTTTGCTAATTTTAGCTAGACTTTTACTACTTTTAGTTTGTAGCTAGCATTTTGCCGTGTTTTATTTTGGCACTTCCTACTTTCAGCTTCTAGCTAGCTTTGAAGCGGAGCAAACGTTTTAGCTTTTTCGGCAGATTCATTTAGCATGTGCGATATTTGGTATGGAGCTGATCAGTTCGGCTTCTGAAGCTTTAGCTTTTTGTAAAATTAATCCAGTGTTTCGACCAAAGAGGCAAATGATGTGATCAGAACCGTTTGTAGAAACAATAGCAAAAACAAACACAAGAAACAACTTTAATCAAAAGTGTGGTTGTTTCATCACAAGTTCAGCTTCTGAGCTTCTAGCAGGTAAAAGGTTTTTGACCTTTTGGAGGCTTGTGGTCAAATCACATCCTTTTTGCTCCGACAGAAACAATTGTAAACTACAAAGTCTACTTTTCTCTGCAAAATAAAATTAAAGCCCATTGTTACCACCTTTTTCTTATTTTACAAAGTGAGCAAAATAAGCTCCTCACCCTTTAACAAAGCAATTTCAGACAGAGGAGACGTTCCCCTCAGTGTTACAGCTCTTTAAAACAACAAATGAATCGGAGAAATTAAAATCAAGTGGAGGAAAAAAAAAATAAATAAAACGACCAGAGAATCTTCCCACAGTTTGCGTACGATGGGTTTTAACTCGGATCCGGGCCTCCCCGACCGAGTCCTCCCGTTGGGGCTCTGGTTAGTCCTGCCTGCATACATTTTCGTCTCATTAGCATATAAAGAGCACTTCCCTCTCCACTCAGCCGTATGCTAATCTCTAATAAGATGAAAGGGCCCGCTCTGGCCAATGAGAACTGTCCATTTGTGGATCTATTAAAGGTTAGACAGCTGAACGGGAATGGACATCGTTTAGCAATTAAAAAAAACGAGGGAAAAACCAAAGAGGGAACGAACGATTCAAGGCGGTAAAGAGTGTTTGTGCACATAAACACCCATCCGACCCGAGTTCCTGACAGTGTACAACAAATCACATTTACCTGCAGGCGAGAGGGAAACAGCAACAACAGGATTACAGACCTGAATCTTAGTCCTGGCTAAACTCTCTAATACACACACACACACACACACACACAATATGTTCTGAAAGGAGCAAAAGCCTCATAATCCGTGTTGAGACTCGGCTCTTCCTAGAAAAGGAGGCAGGTGGAGATAAACCTCATATATTAGAGCAAAGAAAACACCCTGCAGAGCAAACAGAGTCGGCTGCTCAGGACGAGCTCAAAAGGCAGCCGGACCAGATTGATCGATGCTCAGAGATACGCAGCTCATCTCCGGTCGTAGGCTCCTTCTTCTCCTCCATCGATGGAAGAGCAGCAGACAGATGGCTGCAAGGAGACGGTGTAGAAGTATGAATGCACCAACAGGTGGCAGTGGTGATCTTTACACTGGTAAATGTGTGCACGTGCGCGTGCGTGACTCTCACCGGCCTCCTCTCAGCAGATGGCTCAATCATGACGGTTCTGATCTACGATCTGTCCCTGTTTCCCGTCTCACTCTTTCTCTTTTCTTTCTTTCCTCCTCCCTAAACATCCCCCATCAAACTCCTCTTTTCTTCAGTTCCTCCCCTCTGAATAGAGGAGGTCCAGAGTCCTGTCCACACAGATTAGACAGGAAAAAGACTGGTGGAAAGAAGAAAACTTCACCGTGTGTTTACTCCACAGTCACGCAGGTTAACAAGACTTTACTGAAGCGCCGTGACGATAAAGCTCGTCGAGTCCGAAGCAGCTTTAAAGTGAAGAAATGGTCAGATTAAAGAAACCGAGCAAAGAATTGAGGCAGCAAATCACCGAGTTGATGTTGTTTTGGGAGAAAAATCAAGACGGCGCTCAGAGGTGATGAGCCTCGGAGGAGAGCAGGTACCCTGGCAACAGTTGCTGCGGTGAGGAGCAGATGGCGCTCGGAGGAGCGGTGATGGCCGCCGCCGCGCCTGGTCATCCTCCGAAGCTTCGGACAGACCCAAACAAACCATCCAGAAACACACGCTCAGTTCATTAATCACGTCTCCTTTTTGTCCTGAATAATACTTTAATTAGCGGCCTCAGGTTCCTTGAAGGAATGCATATCGCCCGCCGTTCACGCCAGATTAGGCCTGTCGCGATAAACAATAAATCCATTAATCGCACGATAAATTAAAATTATCAACCTCGTTTTCATTTATCGGCTTCATCGTTTCTTCGTGTCTCTCTCTTTCTACTGAAGACACTGGATGACAAAAGGTTCAACTCCGGTGATCTTCACTGACCCCTCCCTTTCCTCTTTCCCTTTAAAATCTGTTTTAACCGTCCAAATCGTAAATGCAGCTAAGCTGAGAAACTAAGCTACAAACTAAACCAACAGGCCAACCTCGGAAAAAACCTCAGTCTGCCATCTAGTGGTCAAAAAAAGGTACTGCGCACAAAAATTAACTAACATTTCTTCTTAAATTTGACAATAATTACTAATTATTGTCAAATTTCAAACATTATCGTTTATCGCAATAATTTCTGCAGACAATAAATCGCCCAGTAAAATGAGTTACCGTGACAGGCCTACAACAGATTTAGCCTTAGATTGTATTATGTTGAAAAATGGCGCAGTTATGTCCAATTTGGTCAAATCTTGAAAATAATGTTCTGTGCATTTTTTATAAACACATTTTATGTAATCAGCGCTTGGCATATGTGCTGTCAAAGACAATCTGCTAATACCATGCCAAATTTTAGCTACTACCTGTAAAATTGGCTGAGTTTTAGCAAATTTTGTGGACGCTAAGGTCAATTGGCTGCAGCAGCCATCTTGAATTGGGCTCACACCAAAAGTTACAGGTGTAGATGTACACCCGATAAATAAAATACAAGTTTCATTCAAACTCCTCCTGCAGTTCATGAGATGTT